AAAGACACAGATGTAGTGAAAAGAAGGGCCATATGCACCCCAATGTTCATAGCAGCAATGTCTGCAATAGCCAAACTGTGGAAAGAACCGAGATGCCCTTCAACAGATGAATGGATAAAGAAGATGTGGTCCATATATACAATGGAATATTACTTAGCCATCAGAAAGGATGAATACCAACTTTTACATCAACATGGATGGGACTGGAGGAGATTATGCTAAATGAAATAAGTCAAGCAGAGAAAGTCAATTATCATAGGGTTTCACTCATTTGTGGAACATAAGGAGTAGCATGGAGGACATTAGGAGAAGGAAGGGAGAAATGAAGGGGGGGGAATCGGAGAGAGAGATGAACCGTGAGAGACTATGGACTCTGGGAAACAAACAGGGTTTTAGAGGGGAGGGGGGAGGGGAGATTGGTTAGCCAGGTGATGGGTATTAAGGAGGGCACATACTGCATGGAGCACTGGGTGTTGTACGAAAACAATGGATCATGGATCACCACATCAAAAACTAATGATGTATTGTATGGTGACTAACATAACATTATAAAATTTTAAAAATTTTTTTAAAGAAAGAATTTAATATTTAACAAAATGGGGCAAAAGGACACCTGGGTGGCTCAGTTGGTTAAGCGACTGCCTTCGGCTCAGGTCATGATCCTGGAGTTCCAGGATCGAGTCCCGCATCGGGCTCCCTGCTCAGCAGTCTGCTTCTCCCTCTGACCCTCCCCCCTGTCATGTACTCTCTCTCTCTCTCAATATAAATAAATAAATACTAAAAAAAAAATGGAGCAAAAACTATACATACTTCATAGTATTAGTGTGAGGATTGAGTTACCACATATAAAAATGGGTAGAAAATGCATGGCATAAAGTACCTTGTAAACTATGAGGCAACCTATTACTTCATTATTTAAATCAACTCTACTTTTCCAAATAAAAACATTTGAGCATCTTAAAGGATTTGTAAAAAGAAGTAGATTAGATTTTTTTTAAATGATGTCCTAAGCAATTCTTTTCGCTACTGTTTTGCTATTCAAAGGACAGAGGTTTAAAGACATGCTGCTTAATTTTTTTTTCTCAGATTTTATTTATTTTATTATTATGTTATGTTAATCACCTTACATTACATCATTAGTTTTTGATGTAGTGTTCCATGATTCATTGTTTGCATACGCTGCTTAATTATTATAATTTTCCACCAGAAAGATCCTAAGGATTATTGCTTCATGTGTCTTCTCTGTATTATGCTTGGGCATAATAAAAAATGCTACTCTGGTTCTAGTGCTGGCCATGATCATGTAGGGAAATTGCATTTACTGGGTGGGTGTTCCATAAAGGTGAGGCCTGGATGCAGCAGAAATGGCCACAATTATAGCTGGGACTCCATAGCCCACGGGGAACATGAGCTTCTTCATGACCCTGCTCACACTGGAGTAGTTGACCACCGTCAGGTTGCGTGCAGTGAGGAAGAGATTCAGACCCTCCAGCAGCATCCAGGTGAAGGACGCCAGGTAGAGATAGTGTAGGGCACCTGCAATGATGGCGCACAGCACCTGGGGGAGGAGAAAGGTGTCACCAGGAGGGATTGTCAGGGAGGAGGGTGACCCCAGGACCCTTCCCATACCTTACCACAGGGGAGAACTCTCAACTTAAAGGAGTTGTCAAAAGAAGTTTTTTATCTAGTTTTATCAATGTGAAATAGGCTACTTACCCTTCAAAATTTCCCTGGGACCCAAGGCCATTTTATCAAGGTATCAATGCATGATGGCTCCATGAACTGAGCATCCCCTGGGGCAGAGCAGAGGCTCCCCTATGACAATGTCAGTACCTTGATCTCAGTCTGGTCGATGGCTGTGAGGAAGAGCAGGTGGGCCAGGAAGAGGCAGATTGAGAGCTGCAAGTGGATCGAGATGCTGGTGTTCTGGATGGTTTTGCACAGCAGGAAGGTGAGGGTTGCCAGGAAGAGGCACAGCAGAGAGAGGCCCAGCCCTATACAGCTGATCACAGCCAGCACCGTATCCTCCTCCTGGGACCCAGGAAAAAGAAGCAAGAAGACATCACAGTCACATTTTCCTGCTCTGGCATAATGACTCTTCCATTATTTTTTATTTTATTTTTTGGCGTAGCAACATCAAGAATGGAGGAACCAGGTTAATTTGTTATGTTATTCGGGAAATTCCTCCAGGTTCAGAATGCTAAAATTCTATGGGATTCTGACCTTATTAATTCAGGTCCCATAAAAATTGAGGGATAGGAGAGTCCTTACTCAGGAGAAACTCCTGGAGCTCACAAGGGTTTATTTTATTTTACAGATCACCTAAGTCTTTGACGTGGTGATCCAGAGGAAGCAACCAGCTCACCTGGCCAGCAGAACAGGCAAACATAGTTCCTATCCCACCTGCACCCAATGGCTTTCCTGGTCCCCTTTGACCTCTGCCACCACCAAATCTTCCTCTCTACAGCCCCTAGAGCCACTTTCTACAGCCTTCCTGTCATGAAGACCCCTGTGATAAGCAGAATTCTAATTTGGCAATGAATGATAGAAGATGTACACACGCCTCTTCAAGATTTTCAGTTAAATGCCAATTTGTGCTGCTGTGAAGGGATTTTGCAGATGGAATTCAGGTCCTATATCAGTTGACTTTAAGAGAGGGATTTTATCCTTGTAGGCCTGGCCTGATCAGTGAGTTCTCAAAAGCCCTGAACACTTCCTGGAGAAAAAGATTCAAAGATTGAGCATTTGAGGGGAGGGAACTTCTGCTGTCCTCTGGATAAATATGCTGGTACACTGGAATAGAGAACCCAGAAATGCACCCTCAACTCTATGGTCAACTAATCTTTGACAAAGCTGGAAAGAATATCCAGTGGGAAGAAGACAGTCTCTTAAACAAAGGGTGTGAGAAAATTGGACAGCGTCATGCAGAAGAATGAAACTGGACCATTCTCTCACACCATACACAAAAAAACTCAAAATGGAATAAAGACATAAATGTGAGACAAGAATCCATCAAAATCCTAGAGAAGAACACAGATAGCAACCTCTTTGACTTTGGCCACATTGACTTCTTGCGAGACACATCTCCAAAGGCAAGAGAAACAAAACCAAAAATGAACTACTGGGATTTCATCAGGATAAAAAGTTTTTGCACAACAATGAAAACAGTCAACAAAACTAAAAGGCAACCTATGGAATGGGAGAAGGTATTTCCAAATGAAATATCAGATAAAGGACTAGTATCCAAAATCTATAAAGAACTTATCAAACTCAACACCCAAAAATCCAGTCTAGAAATGGGCAGAAGACATGAACAAACATTTCTCCAAAGAAGACATACAAATGGCCAACAGACACATGAAGAATGCTCAACATCACTTGGAATCAGGAAAACAGAAATCAAAACCACAATGAGATACTACCTCACACCAGTAAGAATGGCTAAAATTAACAACTCAGGAAACAACAGATGTTGGTGAGGATGCGGAGATATGGGAACCCTCTTACACTGTTAGTGGGAATGCAAACTGGTGCAGCCTCTCTGGAAAACAGTATGGAATGTCCTCAAAAAGTTAAAAATAGAGGTACCCTATGTCCCATGAATTGCACATCTAGGTATTTATCCAAAGGATAGAAACATAGTGATCTGAAAGGTCACATGCACGCCCAATGTTTAGGCAGTAATGTCCACAGTAGCCAAAATATGGAAAGAGCTAAGATGTTTGTCGACAGATGAATGGATAAAGGAGATGCGGTATACACACATACACACACATACAAACACACACACACACATACACACAAACACAATGGAATATTACTCAGCCATCAAAAAATGAAATCTTCGGTGCCTGCGTGGCTCAGTTGGTTAAGCGTCTGCCTTTGGCTCGGGTCATGATCTCAGGGTCCTGGGATCGAGTCCCGCATCAGAGTCCCTGCTCAGTGAGGAGCCTTATTCTCCCTCTGCCCTTCCCCTCTGCTCGTGATCTCTCTCTCTCTCTCTCTCAAAATAAATAAATAAAATCTTTAAAAAAAATAATAAAATCTTACCATTTGCAATACTGTGGATGGAACAGAGGGAATTATGCTAAGCAAAATAAGTCAATCAGAGAAATACAATTATCATATCATTTCACTCATATGTGGAATAAGAAACAAAACAGGATCATAGGGGAAGGGAAGGAAAAATAGAGTAAGTTGAAATCAGAGAGGGAGACAAACCATAAGAGACACTTGACTATTGGAAACAAACTGAGGGTTGCTGGAGGGGAGGTGGGTGGGGGGGGTGTGGTAACAGGATGGTGGGCATTAAGGAGGGCACGTGATGTAATGAACACTGGGTGTTATATGCAACTGATGAACCACTGACCTCTACCTCTGAAACTAATAATACACTATATGTTAATTAATTTAATAAAAATAATATAAAAATTTTTTAAAAGATGTGGTATATATATTACACAGCCCTCAAAAAGAATGAAATCTTCCCATTGCAACAACATGGATGGAACTAGAGGGTATTATGCAAAGTGAAATAAGTCAGTCGAAAAAAAAAATACCATATTATTTCATTCATACGTGGAATTTAAGAAACAAAACAGATGAACATAGGGGAATGGGAGGAAAAAATAAGATGAAAATAGAGAGGGAGGTAAACTATAAGATACTCTTAACTATAGGAAACAAACCAAGAGTTGCTGGAGGGGAGGTGGGTGGGGGAATGGGGTAATTGGGTGATGGGCATTAAGGAGGGCATTTCATGTAATGAGCACTGAGTGTTGTATGCAACTGATGAATCACTAAACTCTATCCCTGAAACTAATATACAATATATGTTAACTAAATTCAATATAAATAAAAACTTTAAAAAGAAATAGGAATGCTGATACCTGTGTGAGGGCCTGTGAAAGAAGGAATGCAGGTAGCTCCTAGGAGCTGAGCATGGTCCTCTGCTCTCAGCTAGCTAGAAAGTGGAACCTTACTCCTACAACTGCAAGGAACTGAATCCTGCCAGCAACCAGGGAGCTCACAGGGGGAACCTGAGCCACAGAGGAGAATGCAGATCTGGCTGACTTCAGGCTTGTAAGACCCAGAACAGCAACTCAGCACCACCATGCCCAAGCAAAGAAACACAAGATATAAATTTCTGTTTTTTTAAAGCCCCTACATGTGAGGAAGTATGTTACAGAGCAATAGGCATGGAACGCAACCCCTCTCAGGGCTCTCACCTGCACATCACAGTGAGTCAAGAGGACAGCAAAGCTGCTGAGGTGGGTGCACTGGCAGGTGGTGCTGATGTCTCCAGTGGCCACCATCCTGCAACCTGTGGTGGACCAATGACCATATCCATCCAGAGTGTGATCCCAGAAGGCACAGAACACCTTTTGAATTGGTCCAGGGGTCATCTACTGTAGGAAGCGAGTGTAGGTGGGAGCTGGTGGTCCTGGTGCTCAGAAATGCTTATCCAAAGCTGGCTTGCAAAGGGCTTTCTTTGGAATGATGCACCCAGGAGGGAGCCCCCCAGAACCTCAAGACTGAGCTAGGCAGCAAGGCTGTGCCCAGGACCCAGGCTCCTTCCACAGCCACAGCACCATCTCAACAGCACTCACGTGGTGGGAGAAGATGAAGGTGATGGGAGAGCTGAGGTTCTGGGTGTCCCAGTTGCTCATAAAGGCAGAGATGACATTTGAGACCAGGACAGAGGAGACTCCTTGCAGCACACCCTTGTGTGCCCCATGCAGAACTGCCTGCTTCTCAGACTCCAGGACCAGGCGGGCCTCAGCCAACAACTTGCCCATCCCTGGAGTGGAGATGAGACCCACCACAGAAGGACCTGCAGGATGAGGCCAATGTTGATACCTTGGGGTGCCCAACACCCCTTCTTCCTCAGATGGACTCTGTGGTCCCACTAACCACATCTTCCCTTTAATCTTCAGTTCCCTGTTTGTCACATCCTTGGGCATCTTGTAACCTTCCCCCCATCTCAGCCAGTACCTGAGTCACCAGATTCGTGCACCACATCCCAGTTCAGCAGCATCTTCGCCTGATTTAAACTCAAAGTGACATTTCTGTGTCCTTGCTCCTGCACCTCCAGGGACAGGTCTATGAGTGATAGGAATTATATAAGGGAGTTAAGTTAGTAATTCTGCCTGTAGTGGTTGCTATAACACCATTATTTTTGTATGTGTGGTGGTAGGCACATGCACACACTCTCACACACACACACACACACTGAATTACAAAGGACTGTAAGAAAATACTATGACCAATTGTACACCAACAAACTGGATAATGTAGATGAAAGTGACAAATTCCTGGAGACATACAAACAACAAAAGTAACTGAAGAATAAATAAAGTTGAACAGACCTATCAAAGGCAAAGACAATGAATCAGATAAAAATTCCCCAAAATGAAAAGCCTAGACCAGATGGCTTTACTGGTGAATTCTCCCAACCATTTAAGTAAGAATTAACAAGAATTCTTTGTAAATTCTTCCAAAAGGAGAAAAGTAAGGAATACTACCTAAATAATCTTATGAAGCCACCATCACAATGATAACAAAACCAGATAAAGCCATTATGAGAAAATTTTAGACCAGTATTTTTATGAACATAAACGTAAAAAATATGAACAAAATGTTAGGAATAAATTAACCCAAGGAGGTTCAAGACTTGTACACGGAAAGCTACAAAAAAATGTTGGAATAAATGAAAGACCCTAAGTAAATGGGAAAACATTCTATATTCATGGTTTAAAAGGCTGAATATTATTAAGATGGCAATAATTACCCAAAGATGTCTACAGATTCAATAGAATCCGTATCAATGTTGCAACGTTTTTTAGAAATGGAAAAGTTCATCCTGAAGTTCACAGGGCATTGCAAGGGACTGTTAGTGCTTACAATATTTACTTTTGGGGTGATGAATATATTTTAGAAATGGAGGTGATGGTTGTACAACTCTGGGAGTGTACTAAGTGCTACTGAATTGTACATTTTTTTTAATGGTAAATTTTAAATTACTTGAATTTTACTCAACAAAACAAATCATACTGAAATATCAAATAATATTAAATTTACATTCTTCAAAATTAAACCTTTTTTTAAAATTTTATTATGTTATGTTAGTCACCATACAATACATCATTAGTTTTTGATGTAGTGATCCACGATCCATTGTTTTCGTATAACACCCAGTGCTCCATGCAGTATGTGCCCTCTTTAATACCCATCACCAGGCTAACTAATCCCCCCTCCTCCCTCGCCTCTAAAACCCTGTTTGATTCTCAGATCCATAGTCCCTCAT